CCTCCCTGGGCAACCTGATAACCCCACACAGCAAGGTTCAGGTACTGCATATGGTGAGGGGGACGAAGGATATGACCAGGACATGTCAGGAACTGGGGGTCCTGCAGAGGGACCAACGCCATACTGCCTGGCATCTTCTGCACTTTGCTGTGACACCAGTGCTATGATGAGCACATGTCCCTTTAGTTTGGCTGGGGATCAGCTGCGGCACTGATCCCATCCCCTGCAGCAAAGCAATCCTCTGCAGATCCCTCCCAAGCAAAACCGACCTCACCCTGTCACCAGCACCTCTCCTAAAGTTGGCCAGATCTGCCAGCCAGCCCGCATCTCCATCACCCTCCCTCCAGGCATGGAAAGCTACTGCAAAATGCATTAATCACCACATCTGCCTAACAAGTGTACTTGTAGGGAGGATGAAGTGAGTGTGGTACAGTCCTCTGTGTCAATTTTCCACCTGCCCGGTATTTAGGATGAAAAGATGATCAGGCCGTAGAATACAATCCACTACCTGATGACTTGTTAAGCAGTAAAACGGAGACATTGAAAGTCATTCACTCCTCTTTTCATGTCATTGCATGGTAAAACTCTACCCACAAACATAAAGTTTTTCAGGTTAAAGGCTGAATGATTTCAAAAACATATGCAGGTGAGTTGGCTGCCTCCACAGCCACAGCAGCTGGGTGTGCTGGGGACAGATGACTGAGAGCCTGGCCAAGCACCCCATACAGCAAGTGCCAAAAGCACACAGGCTTTTCAAACACTGGTAGCAGGTCATGCATTAAAATATACCTTGCTGTCACCTAATAATAAAGCATAAAAGATATTACAGACTCCAGTCCATGGGTGCCCACTCTTGCTCCATGGACAAGAGCTCTGATTGCACTGGAAATGCATAAACCACCTCTTCAAAGCCAGAGTGAGTCTCATTGCTCAGAAATTGCATCCAAAACAGCACATGAAGAACTTCAGTATATTGCCAGGCAAGGGCAAGAAGAGACCCTGCTCATCACCATGCTCACCTTCCACACAGTCTCTACCCAGGGGAGCTCCAGCACAAAGCCTGTTGACTTACACCACAACTAAAGTTTCTCTATCCAAAAGATAGACAGAGGCGAGATTTCTTAAGTAGGTCTCATCTGTCTTGGTAAATCTCAGAAAAACCAGTTTCACGTCACTGTCATCTACCTGCTTGTGTACTCTGGGAGGCAGCAAAATCTGGGATGAACCAGCTGGTTTCAGCCCTTTTTCCATGCAAAGTCACAAGCTGGAGGTATATATATAGATATAGGTCCTAAATGCTGAGATTTTTCTGCCGCTATATTTGGGATTGCAGCGATTATTCCTATTTTATCAGTCACTAGAACTCCTGTTTACTGGATGCAGCCATAAAAGGTAAAGAAGCCCCAGCAGGCACAAGTAACACCATTAAATATCAGTCCTGCACTGGTAAATTGGGTTTAAAAGTTTGGAACAGGTTGCAGAGAGAGGAGTCTCTTTCCTGAACCAAGGAATAATATAAAGCCCCACTTTCTCCCCTATGTGACTTTTGTCATTATCATCTTTTCCGATTCTTACAAAGCAAACCTAATTAGGAAGCTCTCTCATTAGTCTTCCAGAAAAATTAGCACAGCTTATGCTAATTACTCCTGTAAAATTTAATAAACTCGTTGAAATGGGAATAGTCTAATGAGGTTTTATTTATTGAACTAAGATAAGTGTAAGGAAAAAGGTTAGGACACCAGGATATCCAGAGTGGCAATAAAACTACAATTTATTCAATTTCTTCACAGGAATTTTATTGCAAACCTTTTAAATTCAAATATGAGTTACAATTCGAAAGTTAAATCAATCTAGAATTTAATTTAATAACAGGAAGTGCTCTGTGTTTTCTTTAAGCAGGATTACAATACAGCCCTGCCACTGCACTTGTAGGAGGAATTGTGCATTTGTATTGTGACAATAATATCCCTTTTAAAATGAATTCCTGTTCATCAGATCTTCATCTCAACACATGTAACTGGATTAGTGATAAAATATACAGGCTATGCTAAGAAGATGATTCAGACGCACACAGGTTTCCAAGAAACTTCCCTGAAATGACTGCTCTATAAGCATAATAGCTTTATTTTGTTCTCCAGAGAAAATTTAGATCACTACATGAGTATAAATTTCTCTACGTCCCTTTCACTGCTGTATCTGCTGATACTATAACAGAGCAAAGTATAAAGCAATTTTATAAAGGATAAAGATATCCTGTTTCAAACAGACTTTTTTTTTTAAATCCCACATTTTGAAATGTGCGATTTACTTTTCATATCTAGGGTTTGAAAAAGAATACAACACATGTAACTTTGAAGTTGCCAAACAGCTTCTTTGCCAAGTTCACTAAACCACCACAAAGACAGAGTTCTCTCTATCCCAAGTTTCTCTAACCTCATCAAAGAGAATTAATCAATCCAAAATAGTATTGCAGCATGTAAGAGGAGGATAGCATTTCCATGTAAGTGCATATGTCAAAAATCCCATGGATAGATTCTACGTTAAACTCTATGTTAGGTCAGAGTCTGTGGATTCACAGGATTTGATGCAAGAGTTAGATTAAATCCATAGGCAAAACTTTATCGGAGCGTAAGGCATGTGGGAGTGCTTTAGCCCAAATGGTAAATGAATTCTCTAAGCTCACATGCAAATAAAAATAGCTAAATATGGTTTTGCATATCAATTGACATAATAGTTAAAAATTGCATGCATGGAGAAGTGACAATGGAGTACAATTAAACACATGTTCTGGCTTGCGCAGGCATTTTAACGTTAGGACAATTCTAAAGGACTCGTTTTAAGGTAAAAAGGCTCCATATAGATCACTTCATCCTTTCCGAACCAAAAGGGAGGAAAAAAAATGAATAGGATAAATGTCACAAGAAACATCACTAAAGCCACTAACTGTATAAAGCACATACTTATTTGGCCTAAATTGTTTGAACTAGCCCCAGCCAAGAAAAGGTTTTAAGTACCCTACTGGGACAGATGCGAAGCGGCAACAATAGAAGCCACACTAATGCAATCCAGGTAACACAATCCTGTTTCAAAAACACGGGGAGGGCTAATTACAGTACTGCTGAGTCAAATTTCTTATACCACTGCAACCCACAGGAACAGGTCAAAATCAAATGTTATTCAAACCACAGTCATATCAGCCTTCTGTATCAAAGTCACAATTTAAAACCAAGTGAAGAACTTAAAAGCTTAACCCATTCACAAGCCAAGCGTGATTCAGAGCCAGTGGTGAGGTAGGGCTTGTATTATCATCTTCAAATTATGTTTAGCTTGCCTTTTGAAAATAATCTTCAGAATTCATTCCTTTTGCATCAATTTAGGTAAAGACTGAGAAATTGATCACTGCTAGGAACCTAAATCTGTTTTTTCCATGTAACAGTTTTCCTCATTTTGCAGGAAGCGTGTAACAGACAGCATCTCTGGCTTTCATGATCTAAAATGATTTGCAACTAGCAGTTTTGCATACTAGATAGTTAAACAAAATATTTCTGTAAACCTGCCATTAGCATCTTAACATCTCACTTTCCAGTACAATGAAAAATTCATGTGAATTTTGTAGTTTTCATGTTGCTCAAAATGCCACTCTAACACCATGTTTATAGTGTTCAGCTCTGTACCATGCTTATAAAACACATCTCCATACAGATTTCACTGTGAATTTTTCCCCACACACACTTTCCCTGCTACTGCCTAATGCTCACAGAAGATGAAAATATGCCTAGTTAAAATAGATATATCTTCTGAGATTTAAACACTCTCAGGATCACTTATAGCTAATCAAAACACCTGATATAAGCTTCCAATATATGCACTTTCTTGCCAAATTCAAACAAGAACTGTAAATCTGGATGAGCACGCTAGGCAAGGCTCTGCCCTATCCCTGGACCATTCTCTGTGTGGGCCACTCAATGCACCAAACCCTCTTCACCTTCTAACATGGATGCCCTGGCACAGAAAATACTTTAAACCGAGTACAGCAAACCTTAATTCAGACAACAGTGCAAGGAGAGGCATACTATTCTATGTTCTTGCCCCTATACACATAGGTAGTTTCCCTTTAGGCTCCCTCTATTCACAGGTTAGTGCAAGGGTATTGCTTTCCCCAGGCGATGACAGATACTTTCAGTACTTCATGGCCATTTAACTCTTCTAGAGTAATGCTGCATAATAACCAGGTTATTGCACATGGCTTTGTACAATGAGTTTGGACAATTAAAATGTAAAAATGACTATTTGGCTACCATTTTGCATAATTTGCAAGCACAGAAACTATGCATGGCTCAGAACAACTAAAATAGATATATTGTACTACAGTGATTTACATGGTGATGTCAGATTAGTAATATGGATCTGTTTAAAAACACGGCAATTAAGACAGGCAAAAATGAATTGATCAGCTGACAATACAGTCAAAACAGTATTCCAACCACAGAAAATAAGAGGAGGAGAAAAACCTTACTTTGCAGATCTATTTTTTAACTGGTTTTATGCATAAATAAAAACCTTAAAATGTAGATGGATTGCATCCAACAGAACTACTGTAGCTAAGTGATAATGATTCAAACATTTTTCAAATAAAAGTTAAATATTTATAAGCACCCAACCACATTTCATAAATCACAAACTATTATTATTTTATTCCTGAAGCTTCCCTGGCATAGCATGTGAATTGAGCCACAGAAAGTCAGAAAGAAAAATCTCCTCTTTATGCACATGAATCAGTTACAAGAACTGAAGCCCTCCAAAGAGCAGGTCACTCCATTATCCTCCATATGGCCCTTCCATGGCAATAGCAATTGCAAAGCACAACTAATTCAGTATCAAAAACAAAATTTCATCCATACATACTCCTAATTCTTCCCCATTAGCAACACAGGGCAGGTGTTTCATTATAATGAGGAGGGGGATAAAAAAAAATGGAAGGAAACAATAGCAGTCCTTACCTGTCAATTATCACTGGATCTGATGGAGTCTCATTTCTGTTGCCACAGCTTTTCTTGTCACAACAGCGGCTACAGAGCAAAAGCGAAAGGATTTAGTGCAACCATTACAGTGTAAAATCATCATTACGAACATGGTAGGTTCAAATTGCCGGCTAGAGTTACCGCTCGGTCCCTGCCTGGAAATCAGTCAAATGTAGTGGGTCACATATGGGTTAATTACTATGTTTAACTTCTTGCACAGCTGGTTAGCAACGGAAAATATAAAAAGAGAGGGGTTTTGCCCCTTTCACAAATAATATTTCAAGGAACACCCGAAACAGGGAGACCTGCCTATTCGTAGCCTCTTTGCCATGGGTTTGAACAGTTGTGCCACATATGCTCGTACACGAAATAAGACAGCTTTTTCCCTGCTGAGCCTAGTTTTTACATTTGCTTAACGCTTACATTACACATCCACAAGATATTCCTACTTCTACACAATTCTCAGCTACCAGAAAACCTCCCCCTGAAATCTGAAAACACAGTTATTCTCCAAGAAACACTGTTGTTAATGGGGGAGCTGAAATGCAAGTGGCACTGGCAGCAGTTCTTTTATGCTTGAGCATGCCTGTTTCCCCAAGTTTTCTGAGCATGTTAACGATCCCTAATGCCATGGAGAGCACAGCTCCAGTGGCTGGTGCCCTGCGTCAGGTCAGATACAAAGCAGGCATGTGAAATATAAGCTCTGTCTCCCAAAGCATTGCTCCATTGCTGACCTCCAGGCTGGGATTCTTTTGAAGTAAGGTGGCTCATTGTTTCCTAAGAGAAGTTAAATTGTTGTTTGTGACGATTCCTTGTCAGGGATTATTGTCCATTAGGAGCCACAGATATATTGCAGGCAAGCTCACAGGCAGCATATACATTTCTGCTCAGAGTGGGAATCCCTCCTGGTGCATCTAGAGCTGTGGCTGAGTGACATATAGGCTGCCCTGCTCACCCTGCAGCCCATCCAAACCCATGAGACCAAGTCATAGCTACATAGGTGACCAATCCTCAGGCTTCCAGCCACCCCAGGGGAGAAACACCCATCTAGCAAGGAAAGCTCTTGTTTGCTGATGCCTCTTGAAACAAAATACTCCACTGAAGTCAAGGCTTCAAGGAATAAAAAGGAAAATTAGTCAAGAAGCTCCAGGTCTTCGCAAGCCCTCCTTGGTCCCTCCCAAAGAGCTGCTGGATCAAACTTGGGCAGCTCCTATGCAGCTGCAGGGACCCCATCCCACAGTGACACCAAGTGACAGGCAGCAAGGACCACTCTGTTTGCTCTCCCTGGCCAGACCTGAGCACATGCCTCCATTCAATAAACTTTCTGGTAAACCTCAACCGCACACAACCAGATCTTTGGAAACCACCAAGCTTGCTCCCAGTGGTGTTCCAGGGACATGCGCATCGCCCTCATTTCAGCGGGTGGCTGGCAAGAACAACCATGGCTCCCACTCAGATGAACTATTTTCTTTTCCCCAGAAGGTGGAAGAACATCATGGCAGGAAGAAGCCCTCAGAAGTGCCACGCTATATAAATAATCCTGTTGGGAATATGACAAAGGTTCTCTTGTGTTGCTTAACAATAGAGTGAATAATATACAGTTACCCTCCAAGATTAGCAATAAAGCAAGTAACCACACTAAAGATAACAAAAAAAAGGGGGAGGGGGGGCTTTTTACAAAACCAGCCTGTTTAAACATGGCTTTAAAAAAAAAAAAAAATTTTGTTTTCAAAGAGAGGAAAATACATAATTCTTTTCACCGCAAAAAGCTTCAAGGCAAGTATTCAGGGCTGAAACTTTTCACAGTTAACACATGTGCGGTATCTTCATTTCGGTGGAAGTTACATTGTCTGGGATTGCCAAAAAAAACTGCTTAATTTTACAGCACAATACCACAATTGATCCACCAGAAAATGCAAGAGTCTTGGCAACCAGAAAGTATTAAAATTTAGGAAGGAATAAAATATGCTGTAGGTAAATAGTCATGTGGACGTTCGGGGGGCTGTTTTGCCTATAAAAGGACTTGTCGTTGGAGTGCAGCTAGAATGTGTGGGGTGAGAAAATTTACCCACAAACAAGGCAATAAAAACTGCTAATCATTTTTAAATGATTAAAATGTAATTAGAAACAGAGTTGGCACAAGTTAAGACAATGCAGTTCTTGTGACTGAAGCAAATCAGGGCTAGTCCTGACATTCTCACAGCAGACTGGAGGGACAGAAATTGCCACATTTACTCAGGCGAGCAAAGGTTCCCAGGCTCTCAGCACGAGATGGGCAGATACCACCATCCACTTACCGCAAGGCTCAGAGGCCAGCCCCTTCCTGGGGCACTAACTTAGATGGAGAAGTGGCTACAGGAGCCTGGAGATGGGGACACCTCGGACTCACCTCCTGCTGCAAGCAGGATGGAGTCAGGCACTGGCCAATGGGGACAGCCCAGCTTCAAGAACTGAGTCAAGACTGTATTGCTCATTGGGTATCTGCCTCATTTGCACAGGGCTTCCAAAGATTGCACCCCATAATCCTGCGCAATTGTAGGAGTCCTCACTCCTTGCACTGCAGTTTGAGGGAGGTGTGGAAGAGGTGCATGTCTGGCACATCCTGCTCTCTGAAAGGAGGCTCCAAATGTTCTTTCATGTTCTAGATAATTGTTTTTTAAACTTTAGCTTGTCTTTGTGTTTTTCTCTCCCAATAGCAGAATTCAAGGCTTTCTCTACCCTAGTTTTCCCATGCAGAGAATTAAAACATCACACAAACCCAAGTTTTAGTGCCTACTTTACACTTGGAAATAAGTTCCTAAATATTCAGCGCTCTTTCTCTTTTCCCTCAAGGAATTTAATAATTCCCAGGAGCTTCTCCAAGTCACCCAGAACTATCCAGCTCCCAGCAAGGCTCTGAAAAAGCTTAGGAAGAGGTGCTGAGTGCCAGCTCCTTGCAGCCAGGAGGGCAAGGTCTTGTCCTCTCTGTTCTACCATGACACCTCTCCCCAAGTGAGGCAAGGAGCCACGGTTCAGGCACAACGCCATGTTGGCCAACAAAAAAAGCCTACAAAAATTGATATGCTTGGTGGCAGCTCACTTTTAAAACAAGCAATTATAGACAGTAATGCAACCTCTTCCCATCACAACCTCATCCTGCTCCTGCACCCCATCTCTGTCTACCCCACTCCAGTTGCCATCCTTGCCATCCCCAGGGCTCATGCCCAAGCCCCACACCATCCCCATCCTACCCCTTCACAGGCCTCCCCATCTGCTGGCTGCCACCACCACTCCCAGCTTTTGTTGCTGCCTTTGTCCTCACCCCAACTCTCTGGGGACCTGCTGCCTTCCTGCCGCCTTGCTCCCTATCTTCCTCTTCTCTTCCCTGTGCTGGACCATCTCTAGCCTGCACTACCTGGCACTTCTGTGGGCACACAGGAGGTGGCCTCCTCACCCCAATGTCTGGCACCCCCAAATCCTCTCATCCCCACCCTGGTGTGGTGGGCAAGAGCATCGCTCGCGAGAGGAGCCCTGCTTTGTGTATCTGTGCTTGGGCTTTCTGTGGGGACAATAAACAATGAGAAATGACGGGGCGATGGCATGTGGCCAGCGCAAATGCGACTTTCCGATCACTTAGCTGCCAGGCTCCAACAAGTCGTTAGCAAGTCCATGTGGGAGATTTTGCAGGAGCTCCCAGTGAGGTGGGTTTCATCCTGCAGATGATGTGGTCGGGACGAGCCCTGCCCCAAAAAGGTTCCTCACCCTGAAGCATGGAGGTGCAGGAGGTTTTTGCCAAAATGGCTCTAAGATTGTATTTTACACAGACAAAACCCATATTTTACTCCAACCTCATTCTCAGAAGTCACTGAACCATTTTAGCTGAAACTTTCCAAAGAAAGTCAGCCTGAGGCTGACACCCTGCAAAGGACGTTTCAGCCAGAACAGTTTAAGTTTGGCAAAGCTGTAAGCCACTGAAGGTTTCATAATGGAAATTGTTGAGGCAATATTAACTATAGATGTCCCTCCCCATGCTGCCTACAATACTAATAAATTCCACTGAGGCTGTGAATTCTCCCCAGCTATTAACATTTTCACCAACAGTGTTTTTATATTTGACAAAACACAATGAAATCCTTTGAAATAAACCACTACCTGAAGCAAACATCAGCCCACTTTCCTACCACAACCAGGATTCTCCTATACATTTGAATTCTTTGTCTTATCTGTGCCATGGTTGTCTTATACTATAAATACCCAGCTTTGTCACATAAATGCAAAGTTTTATTGTGCAGTTAGCCTTGATAGAAAGCACTGCTGAAAGTTGTTTAGAAATTAAATATCTAAAACAAGCTATTTTAAAATACAGAGCCCTCACTATTTCATGTCTGAAATGAAGAAATTTCATCTTAGGGAGAGCAAGCTGTCTTTCACACCATATGGCTAATGGTAGTGCATAGCAATTAGCTGGGCTGATTAATGGGGAACAGACTCTAATTTTATGCTTATAATTGAGGCTGCATTTGCACCCCTGGTGCAAATTCAGCACATCCCAACTTCCAACTTACAACAGGCAAGAAATCAAGAGAAACAGAATGGTGTGGAGAGAGATTTTTTTTTTTCTCCTTCTAGACCCCTAAAGAGCATCAGATTTGCAATTTAAAAGAGTGTTAGCAGCACAATAGATGACAGATTTGTGCAATAGGGTCAAGCGGCCTGGTAAACAAACAGCACCCTCTTACACATGTATAGGCAGAAAAGGAAATGGGTAATATCTAATATGAGCTATAAGACATTTGAATATGTCTCCCCCACCCCATCAGGCACACTGTCTACTATGGTCAGATTATTATTTCTTTTACTAGTCTGCTGCCTTATGCTTATGAAACACAAGGCAGCAGCTAGCAGTTAACAAATAGAAGGAGAAGAATAAACCTCCTGATCCAGTCAATTTTAAGAACAAAGAAAGTGTAAAGTGCTTTAATAAAGGGAAAGACTGCATATCTTTCCACATTCCCAGAATGGAAATAATTTCGTCTCAGTCAAGTATACTGCATGTCCGTAAATGTTTGATGTGGGTATTCGGTCCTCTGGTTAGAAGTCAGCCCTCCATAGGAAGTTTTAATTTACTTCTTACTCTTTATGTTTCTAAAGCGTTAGTAAGAAAATTAATACATTGAAGTAGGCAGTCTTTACCCTTGCATGGATGGCTCAGAGTGTCTGGCAGATGTAATTCCTACCTCAAAAACCCTGCTGTTTAAGTATGAGGAACAAACAGCAGTTTCAGACCTGACACCGCACACACTTGAGCACGCGCTTAGTTTTACTCACATGGATGGTCCCACTGTTTTACTGGTTTACTCCCAGAGAAAAGCTAAGCACACGCTTCAGCCTTATCAGGTCAGGGGCCTCCTGTAATATTTCCATGAATTGTTCCTCGCTAGGTATCTAGTGTGAAAGTAGTGCTAATTGGGCCAACGAATTTTAGGGCAATTATGAGTTGTCAGCAGGACTGGGTTTCCATTGGGAAAGGGAGAACTGGCCCAGAGTCCTCAAGCAAAACAATACTGCAGCTCCCAACAGCAGCAAGAAGCTCTGGCACCTCCTGGAGATACCCATGCACTCTGATAGTTCTTAAACTGCAATGGGGTATCTCTGGTTTCCTGGAAGAAACCAAACCGTCAATGAAGCAGCCTGGAAAAATACAACATGGAAACTGAAATCCCCAAATGCTGCAAGGAATAATTTGGAGGGGCTGCGTGGGGTTTTACCGAGGCTGGCAAAGCAAGCGGAGCAGCTCCTTCTCTGCTGGCATCGCAGGGTATTGCCCTGCAGCAAGCTTTTATCAGGGAGGAGCTGCCATAGAGGACAAAACATGCAGATCCCCAAGACAGAAAAAATATAATAATAAAAAAATATTAATAAAATCAACCAACAGAGAAGTTTCCATCTGAATACTTTTTTCTAAGTCTGTCCCCCACCAGGAAGCCCTCATCCAAGTTTCTTCTCTTAGAAGTGGGTACTAGTTTTTACCCTCAAGTTACTCCTTTTTAGTAAATGCGTTTTGTAAAAGTTACAACGCATGCAATGGCATTTTTACAGTCTTAAAACAACTGATTGTAACAATGAGCTTATGCAAGAACGCCTCATCTTCCACAAGGGAATTATTTTCTGCCATCGAATAACATGTAACAAATGATTTTTTTCAGACATGCAAAAAATATCCACTAACTTTAATGGGACTGTGAGGTCAAGCTCTCCTAGGTGCTAGAAGGTTCTGTGGGAAGATGCTGCCTTCTCTGCAGTAAAAGGGAAGTAGAAGAGGCTTTACCTATTTCAATCAGCCAGAAAAGAGAACGAAGCAGCTGCAGAAGTACCGTGTTCAGGAGAGAAGATATTTGGCTGTCCTGAATTCAAGTGACTAACCCCAAGCAGGCATGATCTGGGGCAGAGAACACAGGGCAGAGCCAAATCTGCACGGGGGCTTTTATAGAAAACCAACAGGAAGACATCTTTTGCATGGAGGAGTATCACCTGTCCCCCTCCAGCTGAGCAAGGACCTTGCATGAGCAGCAACTGGGACAAGACTGGCCCTCCTGAGCTCGAGTCTTCATCACATCCAGAGAAAAAATACAGAAATTGCTGTTTTGTCATTCTCCTGAGGAGGTTCTGTTGGGAACTGGGGGCAGAGATGTTTATTGCTAGAAGACTATAATCGACTGTTAATTTTGGTGAGGAGACCTTTTATGGGCTACAATGTCTAAATGAAAACCAGTAGTGTTCTGCGAAGAATAACTCTTTATAAATAATTGAAAACTAGTGTGACGGCTGAGACCTTGCTGCTAATTACACAAACTGAACCGGGTTATTTTGGGATTGTTTAATGCAAGAAAGATAAATTTAGGTCCAAAAATAGCTGCAGGTTCAACCTAGATTTTGAGAGACAGATTCATCTTCTCATCACTAATTAACTGGAAGAGGGGTATTTCTTACCTGCACATTATTTCATGCGTGAGCAGAACTCGGCACATTTCTGGGTTCTTGTCTTGGCCTTCATATACTATCGCCTAGAAACAAAACACATTTTTAGCTGTGCATCAAGTTGGGTTTGGAGTAAACAAAAACACAGCCCAGAGTTCGGAGCCAAGCTGCAGGCTAAAGGGGCAGTGTCTCCACCGAACCTGCTCCAAGACTTTCAGTTGGAAAACAAGAGTGCAAGTACAGCTAAATTCCTCCTCTCCATGGCACATCTCTGAAGCGGTGTGTAGGATGGGTTTTTTTAGTAGTCAAGACAACCACAATTTTCTTTTCAATTCAGAATAAAATATAAACCTAATAGCATTAAAAGAAAAAAAAAAAAGGCAAGGCTGGGTATACTGTGGGCCCTATTCATTAAAAAAGAAATAAAAATAAGGACAGAAAAGAGAGTGCTCATGTATTTTTAATCACAAAAGCTGCACAGCCCAAGCATTTTCCTGGTAGCTCCTGAGAAAGTGCCTGGGCCTGATTCTCCCCTTGAAGCTCATGATCCACCACTTCCCAGAGAGCGGCTCTGGAGTTACAGGGATATAAATAAGTGAGAAGCAGGCCCTACCAGAGCAGAGGATACCAAAACAAACCGAGGATCAACCAGCTTGAGAAATTTGACTCTGAGACAGCACAGGGAGAATCCTTAAAGTTGAAACTGTGGAAACACTGCGTTCACATTGCAGGAAGAGTTTACATTTGCAATGCTTCCAGCAGCAGAACCAGCAGAGACAGTGAGGGATCGGCATACACACTAAGTGGATTAAGCACTCACAGCCTGCCCAGTAGAGGGTTTCCATCTGATCACGACAGTGATATTTTCTAACCACCCCTGGTCCCAGGCACCACCCCTCCAGCAGCAAAATAAAAGTGTAAAGAATTTGCCTTTACAACACCATCTTTTGATGGCATTGAAGTTCCTAAATCTTTTAGGGTGCCACTATAGAGATAGGATCAATGGTTAGAGCCCCAGACTTGGAGGGATGACTACCCCTACATCTGAGCATCAGCTTTACCCTGGACCTTTTCAGCTTGTAAAATACAGACTTAGAAATAAGAAACTGGGGGACAAACTCTGCAAATAAAATTATATCTGGTATGGGTATACATAAAGCTAACTATAAACTATATATTGAAAATAAAACCCAAAAGTACGCTATATGGATGAAATACATTTTATGGAATGAGACCACTTTGAAATGGAAGTGTAGAAAACGCTGAGAAAAAATAAGTTATCTTATTTGTGCAATATATGCTGGAATAATATCATACGAACTGCTTTCCCAGTCCTTACAGATATAACCCACCAAGGGTAAGAGGTGCTGTACCTGCAAAGGGGGCACAGATCTCAGGACATACAAATCTGAGGAAGCATGAGCTGATTCATGACACTGTTTTAATAGTAACAAGCAAATATTAATATTATGCATTATAAAATTATTTAAAGTTTAAAAAAAAATCAGGAATGGGGCTGTGTTAGCTTTGCTAATTTTAATTTTTTCATTTCTGTTTTGCTACACCCATTCCCCTAAAACCTGAGAGCCAGTGGGGTTTTTGTTGATAAAACAGAGGCCGGCGGTGTCATTGCAGCTAATAGGTAAAGAGTCTCATTCGACTTCTACTCCCTCATTCCCACCAGTGAGGCACAAACCCTGTGAACTCAGCACTCATATGAAGGAGACATAAAAATTGTCAGAGGATGAATGTAGTCACTGCAGCACAGACACCAGCAAGCCCCCCTGACACCAGCTGGGACCCCATGTCCTTACTCAATTGCTGGCCCACACCTTGAGGCACTTCCACTTCAGTGCCCAAGACAGCTATAGATGATTTGCAAGAAGCCCTGGAAGATCATTCATGTGCTACAGCAGGAGGTGGGACAAACTAACAATCCTCATTTCCTGCATTAAGGGGGAAGATGGGGAGAAGAACCTTCAGCCAAAACCAGGGAACCAAAGGAACCAGCTGACACTTGATGGGGTTGGTCAGCAGGGACACTGCAAACATTCCAGAAAACCTCAAAAATCAGGTCCCCCTTAGCAGTAGGACAGGCCAGGCAAGGGAGAAGCTCATGGCACTTTTTGGACTTAATCAATAATTAAAGAATAATCTGCCTCTGAGAGTGCAGAGCATGTGGGTAAAGAGCAGATCTACCCCTGAGGCTATTAGTGGAGACAAACACTTCCAGTGTCCATTCACCTCTAGACAACCACAGCATGAACTGTGCCTCAGAGAGGACTGCTCAACTTGGCCTGCTCTTCTTCAGACTTCAAGAAAATAAAATAAATTTACCCACTATGGGTTATCTTGTTGCCAGTGAAGCCAAGGAAGCGCTAGAAATGACAAACCAGAACGCAGCATTTACTTTCTTTTTTTCCCCTCCCCTCTCTCTTCCTGCTGCTGTGCTTACTTAACCTCCAGGTAACCGCTTAAATAACTCAACTAAATAGCAATAATGAACGGGCAGAGTCAACACTGTGGCACATAATCACCTTGTCTATTGTGTTTAGCATCAGTGATCCCTTTCTTTGCGTGCATGACATTCTTCTGCCTTCCTCTAACGTTACGGATTTGCTTTTCACTTTATTTGCATTTAATTACCGATGTTGCACCCATCCACATTGTATTTTCTCCGCATTAAGCACAGATACTCCCGCATACCCTATTCCTGCTGGAATTCCTAGGAAATTCTAGGAAGCAGGAGGAATTTCTGAGTTCATTTCCAAGCAGCTCATCCCCAATTCCCATTCCTAGGTCCTAATTCACTTGCGCGAACGGGTGTGTAAAGCGCCAACTGTTTTCTTCCATGAATGGCTGCCTGAGAGCATTGCAGATACTCTGCCCTCTTGCAAACTCCGTTGCTCTAAAGCACTAATGCTACAATTAGTTTCAAAAAGGAAACAGGAACTGCTAAAGTTTCAGATCGTTATAGCTGCCACGAGTATTTTTACAGGAAGGGTCTACAAGGCTGTTGTTGTGAAGATTTTTAACTGCAAAATCTGAAAACCTACCCTATTAAAAATACATATTTTATTATTATTGCTATTTTTTTAAAGTCCAGTCTTTAAAATGGGCTGATGGCTGCAGGATTCCTTGTCGCACTGACACCATCGTGAATTTGTCAAATAGGGATCACATTAATGAGGGATAAAGTGAAAGTTATAGTGTATAAACTTAGACCACAGCAGAGCTAAAAATAAGCCTGCAAATACACACCAGCGTTGCACAACAAAACACCAGCGAAGGAAATGCACGATTGTAGACTTTGCTTTTTAACTTTTGTTTACTTCATGTAGTTTAAACTCGGTGTTGTTTCATACGTGGTGCTAAATAGCTCTGTTTCTCATGAACAGCTTAAATATTTCCCCCAAAATTCATCTTCTATTTTGATAAACCATTACTCCCCCAAGTAAGCTTTCTACAAGAAGCCCCAGTGAGTAATGATAACTCGGGCACCAACGGACTTAAAAAATGAGACCCCGAAAAATTGGCTTCGAAATAGAAGGCTTCTTCACTTCCATTTAAATAAAGCTGCATAAAAAGTTGAATCAAATGCAATTCACTGCTTGCAAGCAAATAAAAATACTAAACTGAGCCCACCGCAGTCACTTCTAGCTGACAAGTGCGTTCAATGGTTTGCCTAAACTTTACAGCAGTGAAGTTCATTTAAAAAAATGTAATAAAATGAAATAAAAGGAAGAGGGATAATATAAAAGTCAAGAGCACAGTTCTCATTTAAGCCACTTTTCCCCCAGTAAAGATGGCAGGATAGAGCAATCAAAGAGTTGATGAATAAGCTGGAAAAATATAAAGCCAGATTTTGTCCTTAAGTATTCCTGACTAAATCCAGATTTATGCTGATACAAGTGAGGGCAGGATCATCTCATGGTGTCAGTTTGCCAGTCAAGCAATCCTGCTTTCCGAACTGGACGAAAAACAATCTTGAAGGAATGAGATCATGGTCATTATATTGTTCAGTTATGGCCTTGATTTTAAAAAAGTAAGAGAAGGAGAGAAATCAGCAACATGCACTGAAATCCACTTGCTTTCAAATTCCTCATCTGCTTCACAAAATAAAAACTATCTTCATTATTGAAATAAAGGAGAAAGAAAAACTTGTTTAAAACGAGGGTCCTTTCAAAAACAGAACTAGAATGATTTGGAATGACGTATACAGCCATACACACAGAGAGAAAATAAAATCCTGGCCCCACCGAATTCAATAGGAGCTTTGCAATTGACTTCAGATGGGCCAGAATTTCACCCAGAGAGGATTAGGCTTGTATCCGCTATATATCTACGCAGAAAATACTGTGAAATACATTCATTTGGCTTTGAATACTTAACCCTTAATCACCCAAGCTTTTACTCTTTCCCCAGACAGAATTTTGACTCATCCCAGTGAGGTTTATCCCAGACAAGTAGCACAGCACTCGGTCCTGGGGCAAAGACAGTTAGTTCTTGCTGTCTCTCTCAATGCACAATTCAGAAGCATCTAATTATTTTATGCAGGCTCCCTCTGCCTTTGATACACAGCCTGCTTATCGACGTATTCACACAAATTAAATAAATTTATCTCTCTTAATATGTTCATTTTTAATGGTTTTCAAACATTCACATGGAAACAGCTCTAGCGTAAATATCCCAGAACAAATGGCTGTATATTATACAGGAGGGAGCAGTTGGGCTGCCAGACTGGGAATGCACCAGGCCATCTGGCTCAGGCAGTCTCTCCAAAATCCTCAGCTTTGTTTTCACCCTCAGACTCCAAACAACACATTTTCCACTGTGATGAGTTTACATTTTCCCAAACACAGGTCCTGATCATGCATGCAAATTCCAAACTTCTCCATTCCTCTCTGTACAAGAAAATTAATATCACCTGCACTTCTGACATCTCACCAAAGGCACAAGAAAGCTGCTAAAATCTGGCGCAACATAAACTTTCCCCTGCACAGGGGTTAGGTTTTGTTTTATGTTTGTGTGAATTTTCTCCGAGTGTGCTGAAGCTCCTCTGAACTTATTGATAACATTTTTTTTTTCCATGTGTGTAGCTGCCAAGAAGGGCCGTGCTATGCACAGAATAGAGAGCTGATCAGATGTCTGCAGACATCAGAGAATGATAGAGAAGTCAACAGAAAAAAACATTTGCATCCAGAGTTAAAGTACTGGGGAAAAAAAGCAAAATATAAACAGAGTCGAACTCTGAAGGAAGGATTTAGACTCATGAGGACTCACTGCAATAGACAATAGCTATCGTGCAAAACTGATGATTTTTAAGATGCCTGAGCCATATTAGCATCCGTTATATCTTATGGATGAGAACGGCTGAAGAAAAAATGGGTGGAGAACAAGTATTGCAGATTTATTTCCTCCATCTTTCCTAATAGCGAAATATATCAACTTTATGAAAATACAGCTGAAGAAATAGAAGGCATCTCTTCTCCGTAAATACATTAAAAATCCTTAGACTGGCCTAAAACCTCCATTTTTATTAGAGCAGACATATTTCATGTTTTGCAGGCAATTTCAAAATGCATCATTGTTAGAGCCAGACCTACTGCGGTAAGAGCTGCTGCTTTACGGAAAGCAACGGCTATAAAGTTTGGGATCCTACAGGGTTTTGAGCACATTAGGAATGCGATCCCGACATAAAATGAGGTGCCAAGATAACATAAAAGAAAATGTAATTAAACCAGTATTGACACTGAATGTTGTTACTGCAGCTGAAAAGAACTTCCCTGCAACAGTAACAATTTTAAATGACAGGGACACATTCTGGAAATGTAGCGAGACCCCTGAAAGACATGGAATTCCTGTTTTACCCAACACTGCTCTGGAGCCACCACCAAAGGCTAAGCACGTTACACCCAATATAATTCAAAATAATGCACTTTGAGACCGATCCTGCCCGAGTTCCCCATTCGGAAGTCCCACAGCCCAGGATACCATGGAGCGGACATGCGGCAAGAGCTCATGTTTTGGGGTAGCACACACAGAGTTCACACCTAGAGCCCAGATCTGCCCTGGGATGCAGCTCATAACACAATTCTTGGTCCTTTCAGTCATGCCACTCTCTAGCCCTGCTTCCCACACCGCATCACTGCAGACGGAGAATAGACACGCGCGCACCAGGACACGTAGGTCCCTGTGCTCCACCTATGAAAGGACTCTCACCATGAGTTTCTTAGATGGGTACAGCCACACAAACAAATCACTGACTTCTTCAGATCAGGAACATCTATACATACACAGAATCTAGCACAGCAAATCCCTGCCTGTCTACCTGCAGTTATAATACATGCTGCTAATGGGATATTTATGTTAGATCTATGAATAACGGTCCTACATACAGAAATCTGGGTCTGATTTGAGGATGGATTTTATTTTATCTTACCTAACTTAATAATCCACTATACAAAACCTTGCAATTTATAGCTGCGAGACAAAGAGAATACATTTAAACTTGATGTGTCCATATTTTAAAAAATGCATATTTAATATGAAGAGCCATGGATACTTTCCTCTATGTTCTGGGGAACCTAACTCACCCAAGCTTTGCTTCGGTGGGATTTTTAATTTGCCACCAGAAACCTCAGAGTAGCTGCAATTTCAGTCTGAGAATTTACAATTACTGACTGTGCGAATGTGCATGTGAGAGTATGGAGAAGATACTTGCCAGATGAAACATGTACGCTTCTGCAACAGTTTCATTTAAAAGTAATCATTTCATTATCCAGTTTGTTCTGAGCGTCATGCATTAAAATACTACACCTTCAAGTAGACTGACAATACATTTAACTTTCATTAAAAATTAAAGAATTTTCAGACAGTCTTTGCAATATTTAATTACAGTTTGATGATTTGAAAGTTACTCGAGATCTTCTGTATAATTCACTGTCGTGAACTATAAATGATATATTCAACATTTGGGCGAGCTTCTGTCATGTGTTGTACTTCACTTCCTAATAAGCATTCAGCCACCAAAGTGATCCCAAATCAGAAATAATTTCACTTTCAAAAAGGAAGAATTAAAAAAGAAGAAGAGGGAAAATCCAGCCTCTGCCCCCCAAAAAATCTGGGAGCCGCACATGCCACAGTTTTGACATGACAATGCCCTATTTTTCATATGCAATTATAGTCCTGCCTAATGAAATTATATACATGACATTACTGCGTAAGCAAATATGTTTGTGTCTAAAATAGCCCTTCACTCCCTGTTTCCTAACCTGAGTTTGGAGAGCTTGTGTTCATAAATCGTTCCTTCTCAACCCCACTGCACTTTCCCCAAAGTCTGTAATTTGTACTAACTTTGTTTTCCGAAGACTTCCTGAAATCAGACAGACTTTTTACCCCCCTGCTTCTTCATTGTGAATGTGCTTTAAAGCTACATGGTAGGTTTTACAAATAAACTGTATCTCGGGGTTTTTTTTTCCCCCTTTCTTTCCAAAGACCCTCTGATGACTTGATAATAATGAAAGACCAAGAGGTCAAACAGTGCCTTAGGATGAACTCTTCATATGCAAGATGCCTTTGTTAAGAAAATTATTTTGAATCCGCTGCTCTACATGAGTTCAGGGCTCTGTTTTCAGCAGGGTTATGAGCAGAGGCTTTTGCATTTCCGTAAGGATAGGAGAGCTATTTCAAGATGATATTTATTGATAGTCTCTCTCATATGAAATACATAACCTCCAAATGGACTAAGAGTTCATATAGCAGGAAGATTTGTTACTTTTAGCACAAACGAACCATTTAGTGCCTGAAAAACAAGGAATGGCAACAAATGCTTTCTCAAGATTTGTTATGAAGAAGAGCATGTTGCTGCTGTTTTAATTCCTGCAGGGAATGGGCTGTGTTTGGAAGTGTGTAATTTAACAGAGTTCAGACACATAGCGGATTGTCTGGTAAAATTCATCCAAGTTCTCTTTTTCCTTTTTTTTTTCCTTTTTTTTTAAACTGTTGAAAGACAATCTTCAATAGCAGGAAAAGATGTTTTGGGACCATCAAAGAGAGTTTTCTAAAACAAACTCAGCCCTTCGAGCTTTATGTTTTGCTGTAGAGAAGAAATACAAGCCAAGAGTTTTTTCCCTACAGACAACATACAGGGGCTGACTTTTCCTATCGGTACAGAAAAAGCTGGATGTTTTTTCCTAAATAAAATTTAAGAACTTTCTTTAACAAGTACAACAGATTAGGAGGGGAAAAAACGTATCGCAAGGATTAAAAGGCTTAAGAGCTATCCCAACTATTTAAAAGAAACAGAAGAGGAAAATGTTCTGACAGAAGCAGAAGAATACGCTGGAGTAGCAATGTTTTTAAAAAGGGGAGAATCGATTTCTTTGCATACTCCCTTTGTAAAAATGCTCTTTTCCTACAGAAAAGTATATTGTACAGGTACGCACATGCCGGGGGTGAAGCTAAGGAGCAACTTACAACTAGAGGTAAGCCACTGCCGGGGTCTGACGATCCGCAGCCCGACACGCGTTTCAGGGGTGGGGGGGGGGGGGCTGTTCCGACAGGCGAACATGCCCCTTTCACCGGGGCCCGGCGGAGGAGCGAACACAGGACGAACGGACAGACAGACGGAGCCCCAGCGCCTGAGCAGCGGCTGGCGCTGACGGAGCTCGGTGCGCCGGGGGAGCCCGCAGATTAATGCTTATTAATTAAGCTGTAAACTCGGCCCCAGCCTGAACAAGGGCGGCTGAAGCATCGCCTTTAGGAGCATCATTTTTCGGAGCTCCACAAGCGCGGCGGTAGGCAGGGTCCAGCGGGGACCCTCTGCACAGCCCCATCACCGGGGTCGGCCCTGCGGCTCGGCCCCGCAGCCCCTGCAGCTACAGAGCGAGGACACACTTCCCCGCAACCTCTTCCTCTCGGTGGCAAGGCCAGTCCGCTCCGGGGGCGGGTTTCGCCTCCGCTGGCCGCCCCACTGAATTCCCTGGGGCCACCCCGACGGCTGCCACCTCCCCAGCACCCCTCCGCGGGCGTTCCGCAACACCTACCTGCTTGGTCATGGAGTCGATGAGTCGGACGTAGAAATCCTGCTCCGTCCTGATCCCTGAAACAAGGCACAGGTGTGAGGAGCGGGGCCGGCAGGCGGCAACGCGCCGGGGCTCGCCCGAGGGCTCGGGCCCGCTGGGGCTCCTGCTCGAGGCTGCCCAGGTCCCAACAGCGCTTGGCCGAGGCCGCAAGGATGCGCGGGGCGAGGGGAGTAGTGGGAAGCTGCTTCCCAGCCTCTGATGGGCTCTGCAGCCGAGGAGGCAGCAGGAGGTGATGGGGCTGACACCAGGGGCTCCCAGCCCTTACCATTGCTGTAGAGCAGCTGCAGGCGATAGTGGATCCCGTTGTTGGTCTTTTCGCTGTTGGCTTCCTGAAGTCAAAAAGGACACGGGAGGCCGGAGGAAAAAGGAAGAAAAAAAAAAAAAACACCAAACATATGAAGCTTCTCCATCACTCACACGTCGGCTGTCCCCAGGGGTGGATAGGGCGGTTGTCACCCCCTCTTCCCTGCCCCGGGCATAGCAAGGGATCAAGGAAAACCCCCTCCCTGGCTGTCCTTCGGGACCGGGGAAGAACCAGGAGCCAGGGACGCGGCCCCGGGGAGCAGAGTAGGGAGGGCCCTGTGAAGGCGGCCGAGCCCCAGCGGGGCGCAAGGCTACTCACCTTCTCTTTCTCCACGAAGCCCACGAAGGCGGTGCGCTCGATCTCCACGGGCTGCCCCTGCCGGTCGTACAGAGCCAGGACGAAGTGGAAAAAGTTGGACTTCCTCAGGTTGGAAGGAGGCTGCTTCTCGAAGTGAGCCCGAGCCAGACCCACTCCGCTGGGACCAGAGGGACGCGGGTTAGCGGCAGCCCCGACGACGCGGCCTCACATCCCCTTCTCCACCCCCAAAGCCGGCTCCCGGGCCCGTGCCTTTCCCCGCCTGGACCGGCTGGGCTCCCCCGGGACTGAGCATCCCCCACATACACAATGAGTCCCCGCGGGGCTCTTCCCTCGGGGCAAGAGGAAAAGCCGTTCTTTGCCACACTGAATCCCTTGTGCGGCCGGGAGCGCGGCAGAGCCCGGAGCCCATCCCGCCCTCCGGTGATCCCCGAGCAGCCCCCCCTGCACCCACCACCCCTCCCCGGGGGCCGTGCCCGCCCGCCGCTGGCCCCGCATGGAGAGGAGCCGCGCTCAGCCCCGCCGGCGCGCTGCCCCGCGGAGCGCCATCGTTCCTGCCACTTCTCAAAGTCGGCTCGGAGCTGTCAGCCCAGTGCCCATGTGCCGGATCTTTCAGTTTCGGTCCTGCGAGCTTTCCTTCCCCTGGCCGGGCGGTGGGTAAACAGCCGAGGAGACAACTTGAAATATATCAGGGTTGTCCCTGCAGAAACTTTCCCTTCCTTAGAGGGCTCCAGAGGGAGGGGTGCGGGGCGAGGTGGGAGACACCGGGAGATGTCAACATTAAACTGCTGCCGGCTCCAGGGCTCAGGCTGCGAATCCGCATCAGGGTTTCCCTCTATATTTTTTGTCCTTTTTCTTTATTTTTATTTCCTTTATTTTTTTTCTTTCTTTCGCAGGGAAAAGGATGGGGAGAAGGGGAAATGAGAAAGAAAGCGAGTCTGGGCACAGCTTCGCCAAACCCACCTCCTCTTTAAAGAGATTTCTTGTTAAAAATCTAAGATAAGTGGCAGTGGTTTTACAAAGGGACTTCGAATTAAATTTCTCTCCGAGAAAGCTTTGCAAAACTCCAGCTTATCGGAGGAGGAGAAGGGAGGCTGCTGATTCTGGGTAGGATAAGAGAGAGAGGTAGGGAAATATATTTTGGATACCTCCGTGCACAAGTCGCTGCTTATCGGAGGAGGAAAACGTTATTTGAAGATCTTCAGACTAAATCAGCAGCAAACATAGTTTTGAAAACTCCTTCCTCCGCGCGAACACAGTGGGCTGGAGAGATTAAAACACTCCTATTCTCACCTAGCGAGCTGGCTGCCTCCTCTGCTGTCATTATTGTCACTATTTGGGAAAAAGTCCTTGCTACGGGACAAGAGGAATAAATATTTAACTGGCCACTTCTGCCCGAAGCTCCCTGCTGTTAGCAGAGCTCCAGAGCCGGCTTTTGGGCTGGTGCAGGGGGGAAAGCGCTGCCTGTGGGGAGCCGCGCTGCCGGGGCGCGGAGCCTGCCTACCTCTGAGCGGCCGTGCTAGCGTCCAGGACGCCGGCTCCCTGCATCCACGTCCGCACCGCGTTCATCCCCGCGCCGAGGGGCTCTTCCTTCATGCTGCTCCCACTCCGCTGGATGCTTTCCTGAATCCCAAACATGAATCAGAAACAACAGCGCAAATCTTCCTTCTTTACTCAAAAAAAAAACACCAACAAAAAAAGTGATGAAATCGCCAGCGGGCTGTTATACAGGGGTTTTTCTGTCTTTCTCTCTCTCTCTGCAGCTGATCTCTGGAATCAAAGCAAGTCAGAGAAAGCGAACACAGGCACGCACATTAAGGGGGAAAGAAAAAATCCAGAGGCAATGAGAGCCCGGTTTTGTCGCTGCTGTTCGCTGCGTGTGCAGTTTGTTTGGGTGCGTGGAGGGGCTGGCGGGGCGCTGGGGGCTGGTTGCAGCGCTCGCAAGCCGGAGGAGCACTTGAAGTCCCTTTTGTATGAAAACCCCTCGGATGGCAGCAGGCAAAAAAAAAAAAAAAAAAAAAAAAAAGAAAGAAAAAAAAAAGGAAAGAAGAAGGAAAAGAAAAAAAAATCTCAGATGCAGTTTAAGAAACAATAGGACGAACGGGAGCTGCGGCAGGCTCTGCTACATCAAGTGTCATTTTCCAGTGACAAGAGAGGCAAGTTCCCCCCCTTCCTCCCCTCTCTCTTTTCTTTCTTTTCTCCCTCTTTCTTCTCTTCTCTTCTCTTCTCTCCTCTCCCAGCCGAAGCGCTCTCTCCTCGCTCCTCTCTCCTCCCTCCTTCAGCCGCGCAGGAAGCGAGTTGCCGGAGCCGGGCGCACGCCGGGAAGGGAACGAGAGGGGCGCACCCGCGGCGGCGGCGCGGACGGACGGCCGGAGGGAGACCCTGGGGCTCCCGGTGCCCCCTCCCTCTCCCGCAGCGCCGGGCGGACTCGCCGTCTCTCCCTATGGGAGCCACTTTGACTGTCCCCGCCGCCGAACACGAGCCCCGCAGCCCCGGCGGGCGGGGGGCGGGGCCGCAGACGCCACGCCCCCTCATTTACATCGCGTCAGCGCTCCACCCCCGCGGCGCAGCAACCAATGTCTGGCCGCAAAGAACCACCGCGGGGGCGAGGCCACTCCCCTCTCATTAGCATAGCCCCGCCCAGACGGCCCGGGGGAAAGTTCCCCGAAGCCCCCCCCCGGGGCTGGTGGGGGGGGCACCGGCACTAACGGGATCTCTCGCCTTTGTTCATGGACGAGGCGGCGGCGCTGCTCGAGGGACAACCGGGGCTTGGGGTGCGGACACCCCGCTCCCCGCACTTCATCCTCCCCACAGCCCCCGGGGCCGCCCCTCGCCGGGAGGGCTCCGCGCTCCCGCACAGCCGCGGGGACAAACGGCAGCGCTAACCGCGAGGTGTCCAAGCTCTCCCCGCTCCCCCGTCAGGGCCAGGCTGTCGACCAAAGCAGGGGATGCCCCGCGGCTACGTCCCATACAACGGGTTATCCCCAGCACCAGCACCTCTGGAAACACGAGTGGGGCCGGACCCTCCAAATCCCCACTGAATCCACCACCCGGCTCTCCCGTTCCTGCCCCACTTCCGAGCAGCGGTGCGCGGCTCTGCAGGAGCAGCACATTTCCTAACGGGACAGCTCAGGAAGAAAGTCCGGTTTTTTGTTTTGTTTCTTTTTCCTAGGGAAAATAATAACACCAGAACCAATTCCTGCCCTCCCTGGGGCACCGCTGGGCTGGCGGAGTGGCGACGCAGCGGGCGCAGTACCCGCACCATTCCGCGGGCTCCCCGCATCAGCCTCCATCGCCCCTGCCGCACAATTCGCATCCTCGCCCGCCGCTCCAGTAGCCGGGCTCTGGCCACCGCCTCCCCTGCGGGCTCCTGCCGCTGAACGGGGTGCGCTGCGCGGGTTTTCTCTCCCCAAATAAGGGCTTGCGAGGAGTTTGCGCATGTAACGAAACAAAACACGGCGCATCCCGGGCTACCCGCCCCCCGCCATGGCGATGTCAAACCGCGGAGGGGTGACGGGGACACCCGGACTGAGCTTTGGGGCCGGTACCCACTGAAGTGCCTGGGCTATCTCTGCCTACTTCCGTGCCCCGCCTTCTCCTCCGCACCGAGGTGCAGAAGATGCTGTCCGGGAGCTGCAGGGGGTGGCGGGGCGGGCGGCTGCCGACCGCCCCTTCCAGGGGCCGCGCAGAAGCCCGCGGGGCACAGCTAAGGGCCCCGAACTGGAGAACTGCCAGCCCAGGTAAAACACGTTACAAAAGCACCTGGATACAGCTCCGCAGGCACCCTAAAAGCAGTCTGACAACTGTCTAGGACATTCTTCCTGTCACCTGTACATCACTTTGTTTGCAGCGGAGTCTGAGCACACAGCTAAACCTCAGCCAGAGACACAAAGATCCCCAAAGCAGGCACACAATCTACTTCCAGCACATCTCTGGCAATGCTAAACTGCGGCCGAGCCCCAAAGCCAATGTGGCTTTAGGAGAGTCCACACACGAAACAACCACATCCCAAGTATGTTGAACTCTCACACAGGAACCGTTACAAAGAGCAAGTTTTTACATTCCCTGCAGATGATATTTGAATCTGCTCATAATGCTACTGTGTCATATCTCAGGGATAGGTGGAAGAACACAGCCATACATGAATATTTACGCCATAGGTATTGCATAGAAATAGTTTGGTCCCTGCAGAGCTCTGGCTTATTGGTTTTCCTCAGGCTGCTGCTCTATCACTTGTATCATATCCAGCATAAATGCCTCCATGGTGAGATACATTTCGCAATTAAAAGCTATTTGCACCTGCACTGATTGCTCCTTTCCCAGGATCGGGATCTGCCCAGGGAGGAATAATGCGTTTGAATCAATATACCAAGCAGTTGGCAGATTTTGCCCTTCAAATCTGTTCAGGGGATCAGGGGACAGTTTCGGTGCCTTTCCCTGGATGCTGCAGGGAACGCCATCCCAGGAGCAGTCTGAGGGCACCTCCACCGGGCAGGGACCGCCAGCCACGACAATAAAAGTGACAAGTTCTCCACTATGTTCCTCCTTGCACACACACATACATGTCCCTCTGTGCCCAACACGCAGCCAGCTCCTGGTGGCTCCTGCTGAGGCTGGGGGGATGCCTCACCTGGGTCTTAGAAAGTCTCAAAGCCACTAATTGCTGCAAGGAAGAAAGAGTTAAACACTGCTCGACCCCCACAGGAGGAGTGTGAAAGAAAAGCAGGGCTGAAACAAGGAGGGGGTGAGAAAGTCAGGACTTTTTAGGGGGGAAAAAAGAAAAGAAAAAGAAAAATAGGAGCTGGCAGGATGCAGGAGACTTCTGTGCTCCATCCACCCACAGGGGCCAGCCCCAGGACATGGGGGTTGGCATTTAAAGAATTCCCAGTTGCCTTTAGCATTTCACACTCTTGGGTCCGGTCTCTGGACCAAAACCGCTGCACTCTGACTGCAGCAGAGAGGCTGCTGCGTGTGCACCGCTGCCGGTGCTGAGGCCGGAGGGTGTTTCATGTGGAAGGCTGGGTTTGTCCTTCCCTCAGCATGGCAAAGGAGCGGGAGGATGCTCGCAGCTTGCCATGGGGGGATCCCTGGTGGGCTGCTGGGGCTCGGCACTGGGCTGGTTTGCTGCAGGACATCGGGCACGTTGCAGAGAGGTTCCCTGCAAGCGCGAGTGAAACGCTCCCAACCTACAGCGCAGAAGTAAGCACACACAGACTTTGCAGGCTGTGATTTGCTCCCAGGGGTGAGGAAATGTTTCACTCCTGAAGCAAGCAAGAGGCACGCAGCTGAGCTGTGGATTTTACCCCAGCAATGCAAACCCATAAACTGAAGCTTTGCAGCATAGGCAGGAGCAGTTTATAAACAGGACCAGGACATGGTCCCTAGGCATGACAGATAGCAGGGATGGGGTGACACTGGAAAGGAGGAGGAAAGGGCCAGCCCTGGCTTGCTTGACCTATACAGGAGAAAACAGGACTCCTGGGGACCAGCTGGTTTTGAGTCCTTTGAACAAGGGGCCATGGAAGGAGGCCTAAATCCAGGAGACAAGCACAGCCCCTGTGAGGCTGGAGGCAGAGGTCCCAGAGCACAGGAGTATCCTGCATGGGGAGAGGCCTCTCCCTTGCCCTGACACAGTTTCCAAGTGGACCCAAGGCCCCTCTCGCCTCTGACCTGGAGTTTATGCAGGACAACTCCCTCCTCCTGCCTCCAGTCCCTCTCCCTGTGCCATGGGGCTCCCAGCACAGTGGGACAAGTCAGGCACTGCTTTGCTCTGCCCAGACCCTGAGGGAGGAAAGAAGTGGTTGGAAATAGGAATGTCTAAGAGAAAAGCCTCTGCTCCCTCCTCCCTGACCTTTGCAGCTGGATGAGGCACCCCCAAAGGGACTCTGCTCCTTCCTGCCCTTCTCAGAAGGCAGATGAACAACGGAGCCATGCCGATCAGGGGAAAGGGAAAAGCAGCCTCTCCTCTCAAGATGGTACCAAAAGCAGAGCACTCTGAGCACATACCTGCACTTTCTGCTGATGCAGAGCTGAAAGGGGCTTGGGGGTTTGGGAGCAGTTCACCGATTCCTCTGCAGCAACGATGCTTTTCATGACTATTTTCCTTTATGGCAAACAGGCTCCTGTTTCAATTCAAAAACTTCCCATCCACAGATGAATCCAATGCCCGCCCTTGCAGGTGATGACACTGTTCAGCTACTCGGGGGGTTTTATTCCTCATTCCTGGTTTGCTCCTGAGGAGAAGGACAAGAAAAAGGCGCAAAGGACTGAGGGTTGGGATGCTCTGATCAGGAGGAAGGGGCCTGGATGTCTCTGGGGCGAGGCAGAGAGTCTGCCTGCAGCACCATAACGACAGAACCCCACTTTTACCCCAGCTGCCTCGAAGAATCAACAGCAGGTGACCAAGATGGAAACGTTTCAAGCATGAGCTTTTATCCTCCAAACCCCTGCCCCTTAGGGACTGAAGACCCCGGGTTGCCCTGGCCGGGAGGGGGTCACCTCTCTGCTGGCCCGGGGCAGGGTGAACTCCCACGGGTGGGAAGCAGCGGTCATTGAGGAAAACCTCTTCCCGTCTGGCCTGCAAGAGGCGGGAGCAAAGGGGGACCCCCCGCGGGGTTCCCGGGCCGGGGGGTGCGGGACCCGGTGTTCCGCCCTCGGCGGAGCTGAGCTCCTCGGGGCCGTGGTGGGGGGGCGGTGCCGGGGCCGCCGCGCCGTGTGGTAACGGCGCCACCTGGTGGCCATTCAGGGGAACTGCTCCCGCCGGCGCCGCGACCGGCAGCATCGTGGGGCGGACACGGGGTTGGGGAGCAGCTCCCTCAGCGCCTCCCCCGGCCCATGGGGACTCGCGTCTGACACCAAGACAACCGCTGAGCACCGGCAGTGCGGGGCAGGGCTGCCCGCCCGGGTTCATGGGCCGCCCCAAACACTGCCGGTGCTCACACTGCATGTAGTGCTGCCGTTCCGGGGCACGGGCATCGGGTCCTGTCCAGCTACGAGAGTGTTACTGCCGTTCCGCGGTCAGTAGGGCAGCAACGAG